TCCGGAGGCAAGTTACTCAAATCCTTGGGACTTGCTTTGTGCTCTGTGAAAATGGGGCTAATATTGGACAGATTGAGGTAACATGAAGTCCAGCAGATTGGTCAGATTTATTAATGATTACTTATATTTTACTTTCTGTCTTTTAGGTTTTGTGACAGGTTACTTCCCTTTTTTTTTTATTTTGAAATAATTATAGATTCATAGAAATTGTACTGAAATGTACAATGGTGTCCACTGATCCCATCCACCATCCTTCTTCAATTTGATGTAACATAACACAACCATAGTACAAAATCAGCCTAAGGAGATTGACACTGATGCAATCCAAGAGCTTATTCAGATTCCACTAGTTAAAAATACACGTGTGTGTGTAGGGGTGTGTGTGTGTGTGTGTGTGTGTGTGTGTGTGTGTGTGTGTAATGCTGTCCAGTCTCATTACATGTGTAGCTTTGTGGAACCACTGTCACATCAAGGTACTCATCTGTACCCCCCCCCACCCAACCAGGCTCCTTTGTGCTACCCTTTATTGCCACCCTCACCCTCTCCCTCCCCTCCCTAAACCCAGGCAACCACTAGTCTTGTCTCCATCTCTATCACTTTGTCATTTCAAGAACATTTTTATAAATGAACTTACAAAATGTCACCTTTTGGGATTGATTGACTTTTTAAGCTCAGTATAATTCCCAGGTTCATCCAAGTTGTTGCACAATCAATAGTTCGTTCCTTTTTATGGCTATGTAGTATTCCATGGCCAGTATGGACAGTTTGTTTATCCATTCACTTCTTGAAAGACATCTGAGTTGGGGCTATTATGAATAGAGCTGCTATAGACATTCATGTACAAGTTCCTGCATGAAATTAAGTCTTAATTTCTTTGGAATAAATGCCCAAGAATGCAACTGATGGGCTATATCCTTTTTTTTTTTTTTTTTGAGAGAGTGAGAGAGAGCATGAGTGGGGAAGAGAGGCAAGGGGTGGGGGGGAATCCCAAGCAGGCTCCACGCTCAGTGCCGAGCTGGATGCATGGCTCAATCCCATGACCCTGGGATCACAACCTGAGCTGAAATCAAGAGTCAGACACTTAGCTGACTGAGCCACCTAGGCTCCCCTGATGGGCTATATCCTAAGTCTCTTCATTATATTTGTTTCTACAGCTCCTTTCTATTTCTTGACAAGTACTTCTGGTTATCTGTTTATGGTACTGATAATATGAGTAACCTCTAAAGACATGTATACTGAATCATTGTTCAAGCTATGGCAAAAATTTTTCCTCTTCATGAGGATGGGTGCAGCATAGAGAAAGGTGGACCTGTGTGATTACACCAGGTCACGTGCAGGTGCTAAATGAAGGTGATGCTTTCTTCAGCTGTGTGGGAAATGTTCATTCTTATCAGTAATCAAGAACAAGGAATGCTTCTAGCAAGGAGTAAGTACATTAATAGCAATACTACCAGCCATAAGTAAGGGTTGCAACTAAAGGAATTTCTGAGAAAATTAACAAAATTATCACAAGAAGTAGATAATAATTACTTAAGTAAAGAGATGAAGTAAATTATATCTTTTCCCCATTGTTTATATCATCCTTATTTCTTTTTGATAAATTCTTTTAACTTTATAAGGAACAGTTTCCATCTTATATAAACTATTCCAAAATATGAGGAAGATGAAAAGCCACCATCTATGAAGAAGAACCATCCTGAAATAGCACAGAAAATACAATGTTGATTTTACTAATGAATAGGAAGACTTTTTTAGGTGAACTGATATATCAAAACAGCAGTCTGCTAGTGTCCTGGGCAATATTGTTGGGCTTCTTTCACTCAGTATAATTATTTTGAGATTCATCCATGTGGTTGCATGTTATCAATAGTTAGCTCCTTTTATTGTGTGTGTAATGTTCCATTCTAAGAACAAACTATGGTTTGTTTATCCATTCACCCGTTGATAGACATTTGCATTATTTCAGTGGTTGTTTTGAGTAAAACTTCTGTGAATGTTTTTTTTTATCAAGTCTTTGTGTGGGCATATGCTTTCCTTTCACTGAGGACATAAAATTACGAGCTACTTGAATACCTTACAGTTGAGCAGATTAATGCAGGCTCTGGAGGCTGAGTGAACAAATTGTGTGAGGGACATAGGAATCGCCAATGTGGCTGAAGCAGAGGACCTAAGCGTGAGCTTTGCATCTGGTGTTTGATGGCTGTGCATTTGATTGCAGGCTATTTTCTTTGTTATGGGCTCTCCATTTTTCTCTCAGAATGAAGTCCTGAATTCTTCTTGGCCTCTTTGGACCTCTCACATTGTGCCCAACCTTCCTTTTCAGGGTCCTTAACTATACCCACTATGTTCTTTCCTTTAATGAGAATAAGAAGATGGTGATAACAGCTTAGCTATATTGTGGACCTGGGACTCAGGTATGCAATCTACATGTATTATTGTGTAATCCTTCTAGGAGCCTCATGAAGGAGGTACCATTTTTATGCCTTTTGTACAGGGAGGAAACCACAGCTCAGAGATGTTAAATAACTTGTCCAGGATTGCACAGCTATTAAGTGCTAGGTTGGATGTTGGACTAGATCATCTGACTTCAGAGCCAGCACCTTTAACCACAATGTTGTACACCCGTCATCACTGAAAGGACAGATTGTGAATGGAATTTAAGACGCCATTTAAACTGTTCTTCCATATCATCTAGTTAATTCCTATATTCCTAACTTAAGTGTTTCCTCCCAGTGGCCCAGTGGCAGTCCAGACTGGGTTGGATCACCTTGCACCAGGTGCCTGTCTCAGATCTCTGTGTCTGTCCAGCTGAGCTGGGAGTACAGCATGGATATAGATGCCCTCCTTTGCTGCCCTTAGTATCTACTGCCCAAAGAGTGCTAGGTACTCAGTAATAGCATTGATTAAACCAGTTGAATGAGTGAATGAATTTTATTATCAGATATGCATGTTTGTCATCAGCTTTATTGAGATATTATTTACACATACAGATGTGTAACCACAATCAAGATAAAATTACTTCAATCACTCTAAAAGTTCCCTGTGCCCCTTGCAATCTCCCTCTACCTTCCAGCTACCACTGTTCTGTTTTTCTGTCCCTATAGTTATGCCTCTTCTAGAATTGTTTTAAAGTTTCTTTATTGAGAGGGAGAGAAAGTGAGTACTAGTGGGGGAGGGGGAGAGGCAGAGAAGAGGGAGAGAGAATCCCAAGCAGGCTTCACACTGCCAGTGCAGAGCCCAATGCAGGGCTCGAACCCATGAACCACAAGATTATGACCTGAGCCCAAATCAAGAGTCGGATACTTATTGAGCCACTCAGGCACCCCTAGAATGTTTTTTTAAGCAATCTCTATACCCAGCATGGGGCTTGAACTCATGACCCCTACTAGATCAAGAGTCCCACACTGTTCTGACTGAGCCAGCTAGGTACCTCTCCCTTCTAGAATTTTAGACAAATGGAATTATACAGAATGTAGTCTTTTGTGTCTGTCTTATTTAACTTAGCAGAATGCTTTTGAGATGCATCTGTGTTACTGCATGTGTCAGCAGTTCCAGGTATATATTTAAAACCACCTTACATAGTTATTTTGGTAACAGTCCAGAGATAAACAGCCCCACTAAGGTTTGGACTTGGTTTGTAAGAACAGCAGTTCCCAAGAGTGCTCTGCAAGATCCTTTAAGAATGTCCACAAAGCCAAAATGATTTTCATAATAACCCTAAGATGTTATTTGCATTTTTCACTCATTATCTGAGTTTTCCAGATGCTACATGATGTGTGGTATCATCTGTAGATTGGTTGCAGAAACAGATGGAATCTGTCTTCTATTAAGTTGTCTGGCTTAAATTTGTAAAAATGTTAATGCTACTCTTCTCACTAAAAGTTTTTGTATTGGAAAATATAATATTTTATTAAAAATGTTAATTATATTAACATGTAATCGATTTCTTGTTAGATACATGAATAGATTTTCTTTTAATTTGAGATAGTATGCATGGATGGGGTGGGGGCTGAGGGAGAGGGAAAGAGAGAATCCTGAGCAGGCTCCATGCCCAGCACGGAACCCAAAGCAGGGCTCGATCTTACAACTACAAGATCATCACCCAAGCTGAAATCAAGAGTTGGACATTTAACCTCCTGAGCCACCCAGGCACCCTCCTCATGAGATGACTTCTCATATGACAAATAGTAATAAATATAAGTCATGTAAACAGAAGCTCTTTGGGGGCTTCAGGATTTTAGTTGTTGAGAAACCCTTAGTCCAAGAAGTTTAGAATCTCTAGAGTAGGGACATTTTTGAAAAGGCATCGGGAACAGGATGAGGAAGTCTTGGAACTGAGTGGGCTTAGAAGAGGTCTGGAGACCTGGCTCATGGTGCCTGGAGAAGGGGTCTCCATCAGGTGGTGCCACATAGAACGTGGGCTGGAATGTAGGGACAGGCAGTGCAGCTACGATTGGACTTCAGGCTTGGCACTTGCTAAGTATCTGATGTCTGTGCTGTATTCTGATCCCAGGGCAAGCATAGGAAATCATCAGGACCTTTCGTTGGTTTTCAGGAGAAAATACCCTAACCATCTCTCTGCAATAGAGTTCTAAGCTCAGATTGAAAGACTGTCTAAAATAATTATTATTTTTTTTTAATTTTTTTTAATGTTTGTTTATTTTTGAGACAGAGCATGAATGGGGGAGGGTCAGAGAGAGGGAGACACAGAATCTGAAACAGGCTCTGAGCTGTCAGCACAGAGCCCGACGCAGGGCTCGAACTCACAGACCACGAGATCACTACCTGAGCCAAAGTCAGCCGCTTAACCGACTGAGCCACCCAGGCATCCCTAAAATAATTATTTTAACAAAAGCAGGTGGGAGGCTAGTCTTCTTACTGGCAAAATTCTTGTGGGGAAAGCTACGTGTGGATTTTAGTTAGTGATTTTGATAAAGCTGTTAATAAACAGCAAAATTGCACCTGCTGTCTTTGACCTGTTAACTGCTCTTCTCTTACAGGAGAAAGGGCCTGTGGTTCCGACTGAGGAAGATTCTTCTCTGTGTTCTGGGGTTGTATGTTGCCATTCCATTTCTCATCAAACTATGTCCTGGAATACAGGCCAAACTTATTTTCTTGAATTTTGGTAAGTACCACGTGCCCACTTTGCCTTTAATTTTAGTAAGGGTTCATTTGCATGATGATTTATATTTGCATATTTACCACCCAGATCGAGAAATAGAAACATTTCTATTACCCAGAAAGTTCCCTGTGCCCCTTCCCGGTCACAGGCTGCTATAGTGACTGAATTACTCTCCAGGGCTGGTATCTGTGTACACAAGTGACTTCTGCATGGGCAGAGGTCTTTCTTTAGCTGAAGTGGGTGAAAGTGTTAACAATGTGGAGAGTCTTCTGAAGCTGTTGTGTTGGAGATGCTTTGCCCCTTGTGCAGTCTAGGAGGTTAACTGTCCTTGGAAAAGATGACCACTTAAAGATGACCACCTTAAAAAAATAATTAGGACTTTTTCTGGAAAAAAAAAAAAAACACAAAAATTAGCCTGACATGCTTTGGTTTCTATGGAATTATATGCTGACTTTATGGGTGCTGTAGTCTCCTTGAGTTAACTTGGATCTTGTGTGGTTTTTATTCATGCTGTGTATTTACTTTTGTGCAAGTGGGAGGAGAAAGGACCAGAAGTATCAAGTTTAGGAAACAGAAGGCAGAGGGCTCCCAAGTACATAATTGCTGGGAATAATCCTCTCCAGGAGCATCATTTTACACCTACAAGATGAGGCTAGGAAGGAAGAGGTTGGGTCTGTGGGTGTTAGAATTTGAGGATAGAACTTGGTGCTTGGTACACAGCAGGTGCTCTGTAAGTGATGGCCTTCAGCTCAGGTGTAGGTGGCACAAACCAGTCAAGGCAGGCTCTGTGCATGCTTTTAGCTATGTTGGTTTGCAAAGAGTGGGTTTAAACCGTGTGTGTTTGGGAGGAGAGGCTGAGAAGCTGGGGCTGATGTCGTGGGAGGAGGCAGCAGGGTTGCTGGTAGAGTGGAGGGAGGAGGAAGCTCATGAAGATGAGGAGGAGGACAGGCAGGAGGCGTTGAGATGGCTCTTGTGTGACTGTGGCCTGAGACAAGTTCAGAGAGTGGGGTGGCACTGGGGGCAGGTGTGTCAGGACTCCAGAACTCTCTTCTATAGTAGCTCTGCAGGTGCCTGAGCATACAAGTTCAGGGTTGTTAAGCCTATAATGGATTTAATCACAGAAACTTGGAAGTCACTGGCTAAAAGGGCATTTCTGCTCTAAAGAGGAACAGTAGGAGGAGGAAGAGAAATAGTAAGGTCAATGTTTAATACTTTGTAAATCTAAAGTAAGTTTTTTACTTGATATCTTAAAATAAGTGTAAAATACTTGTATGCCAAGAGGCATTTGATTTTTCTAACAAACTTAGCTGAGTTTCTAGGAATTTATCTTGTCTAAGTTTTTGCCAGTGTGAGAAACACAAACTTAAAAAGAACTAACAACATATTAAAATCAAGGGAGCTTTGATTTTTCTGACTTTAACTCTTAAATGTCCACAGTTGGTCCAGCACAGAAGAGAGTTTGAGTTTACATGTAAACATGAAGTTATAGGGCTGCATATTCCCTGATGGCAGATCTTAGGATTGAATGACTTTTCCAACTCTGTAAGCCTCTGGGTGCTTTGGGCAGGTGCCTTTGCCACATGGTGGGGTCCCAGCAAATAATTTGAATTGAATTGATTTTCTTTAAATCAGTTATTTGGGCTGCTTTAGACGCAGCCCACAAATGTTGCTTGGTTGGTGGAGCAGAACTTTGGGGTTCTCGTAGGCCAGTCCTCTGCACCTCCACAAGGAGATGCTGGTCTCTTACCCTTTCCTTCCACATGTCTGCTGCATGGTAGTGAGGTCACCTCCTCTGTGGGATTGTGGGGGTCTCGAGTGTAGCCCTGCAGTGTTTTGGAAGTTTCACCCCACGGTGCTGGAGGGCTAGTGTGTTGGAGTAGCACCTCCATTTTTGTCTCCTCGAAATGTGAATCATGATCCTGTGGATTTCAATTTGGACACTAAAGGAAGTCTAACAGTCTTTTGGGCCTCAGAACCTGATTAAAGAATATATATATATATATATTTTTTTTTAATTTTTATTTTAGAGAGAGAGTGAGCATGTGAGTGGGGAGAGGGGCAGAGGGAGAGAGAGTGAATCTTAAGCAGCCTCCATGATCTGCACAGAGCCTTGACACAGAGCTCCATCCCATGACCCTGAGATCATGACCTGAGCCGAAATTAGAGTTGGACACTCAACCGACTGAGCCACCCAGGCACCTCAAGAATATATTCTTAACTTCACGCCAAATCTATCTGAAATCAAATTCATAAATCAGATAAATAAGCTTTTGAAAAAGCTTAGCTCCTATGGTTTCAGGCATTATTCTACTTTGAATATATTTCATAAGCAAAAAATATATGATCATTCCAAAAACAAAATTAACTGCAAAGCCCTGAATGGTAGTAAAAGAAGAAAAAGAAAATCATTCTGAGAAAATTGTTAACTTTGTTGCTTATATATTTCCTGCTGGTCTCTTGTCTGAGTCTCCACGCATAAATATAAATATATGTGCTTTTCATACTCAGGTTCAAAAGTATGATTCCATCTCAGTGATGTTGGGTGATACCCAGTATTTGTGGTCTTGAAGTCTAGATAACTTTTTTGTTGTTAAACTGAAGTATAGTTGGCATATAGTATTACATTAGTTTCAGGTGTATAACACAGAGCTTCAACAATTATATGTATTCTCGGGGTTCCTCACAATAAGTGTAGTTACCATCTGTCAGTATACTAATTTGCTACAATATTATAGACTGTATTCCCTGTGCTGTACTTTTTATCTTCATGATATATGTATTTAACTAGAAGTTTGTACCTCTTCATCCCCTTCCCCTATGTTGCCCTTCTTCCCACCCCCTTCCCCTCTGGCAACCACCAGTTTGTTCTCTGTATTTGTGGGTCTGGTTTCAGTTTTTTTGTTTGTTTGTTCTTTTGTTTTGTAGATTCCATTTGTTTTATAGATTCCACGTGTAAGTGAAATCATATGGTATCTCTCTTTCTCTGATTTATTTCACTTAGCATATACCATCTGTGTTGTCTCAAAATGGCAAGATCTCATCCTTTTTTATGGCTGTGTAATGAAATCTAGCTATCTTCTCTGCAGTTCTTTTCCCCTCAGATCTAGAACTATCTCTTGGTGAAAGGAATGTTTCAGTTCAGAGGCCTGCACAGAACTGCTCCTCTGCACATTACCTTGGGCCTTTTTTGGAAATAGGTTAGATATATAAATTATATATTTGTTTTTAAAGCAGAAGGCCAGCCAACTTGCTTTAACATTCTCTGGGACAATAATTCTTAAGCTTCCTCTTTTTCCTTCCTCTTAGCAGTCCCTGTTAACCCTTGATAGCTGTCTTTCTTTTAAATTTTTTTTATTTGAGTGTAGTTGACACACAATGTTACATTAGTTTCAGGTATACAGCATAGTGACTGGATAAGTTTAAAAATTAGGCTGTGCTTACCACGAGTATATCATAAACATGATTACAGTATTATTGACTATTCCTTATGCTGTGCCTTTCATCCCTGTGACTAACTTACTGCAGAACTGGAATCCTGTACCTCCCACTCCCCTTCTCCTATTTTGCCCATCGTCCCCCCCCCCCCCCCCGCCTGCTCCCCCACCAACACTTCTTTCTGGCAACCATCAGTTTGTTCTCTGTGTTTGTAGGTCTGATTCTGCTTTTTGCTTGTTTATTCATTTGTTTTTGTTTTTGTTTTAGATTCCACATATGAATGAAATCATATGGTATTTGTCTTTCTCTGACTATTTCACTTGGCATAATACACTATAGATCTATCCATGTTGTCACAATGGGAAGCTATGGCCCTTTTTTTTATGTCTGAGTAATAGTCAGGTGTGTGTGTATGTGTGTGTGTGCACGCACACACACGCTACATTGTCCTTATTCATTTGTCTATCCGTGGACACTTGAGCTGCTTCCATAATCTGACAATTGTAAATAATGCTGTAATAAACATGGGGATGCATATATTTTTTTGAATTAATGGTTTTGTAATTTGGGGGTAAATATCCACACAGTATAATCATAGGATAGTTCTATTTTTAATTTTTTTGGGGAACCTCCATACTATTTTCCTTTCTTACCCCTTTTCTTATTAGGGAAGCCCCTACAGCCCACATCATGTAGTTAAAATTTGATAAAACCCAGGGCCCTCTGGCCCTCCCCTTGTTAGCACCTTGTTCGCACTCTTCCAGTGCATCAGTGACTGGGATGAAAGGTAGCCCCAATATTTAAAATGTCAGGCAGTGAAAAATGTCTATTATGGCTAAGTAGCCATAGCCTCTCACCCTATCACATTTCCAGATGGTCTAAAGAAGGGATAATAGATGAGGTTGTTTTCTGTTCATTTATGTACTCACTGGTTATTCACTGAACACCATTTGTGCGGGATCATGAGCATTGGTAGGTGGTTGCTGGTAAGTGACGGTGTGGCCAGGGGGCAGATAATGCAAAATGGGAAGGAAGGGTTGAAGCAGCTGGTTGGGCCCTGCTGGCCTGTGGACACAGTGGCCTGTGTTTTGGGTTCCTGGGCTGTGCAGTTAAGCTGTATGTGAGGCCGAACTTACATACATAGCCATGAGGAGCTCAGTCATTGTTCCTGTCCCTGTCCCAGACTCCTCACTCCTGCCCCTGCCATGCACCTTGTGCACTGCCAATGGGCCCTGTGCTGTGTCCCTGACTCAACCCTATGGAAGAAGCAGGGTCTCTGAGGGTCATATGGCCAAGGGATGTGATCACACAGGAGGTCAAAGGGTCCTGGTACTCATTTGTTCCTGGACACCAGGAGTGAGGTGTGTTCTGGCCTGGGCAGATCCCACAACCCTCCTCCTTGCACCACTTGACCTGGCCCTTTGTGGAGTTTCTGCTCACTCAGACCAGTAGTTCCCAGTGGTTCCTCTGGCCACTTACTCTCTGGAGCTCTCTGACACCCCGGACTGACCAGGGACCTTCACTCCAGAGAGGTTTACAGGTGGCATTTGCTGGACTTGGTGCATTCACTGCCTGCTTTTTCATGGATATTTCTAAAACGGAAATAAAGGTGAACTGGAAGATAAATTTTGGGGAATGAGGTCCTCCTAGAGTAGAATTTGGCTTCTCAGTTCCTAGATTTCTCAGGCCTGGAAGCTTTTGGGATTAGCTGCCAATCCTCATTAAACACTTTTCACAGGTAGGGGGTCCTCTCAGAGCACTGGGGAAGTTTGTAAGTAGCTTGGCCGCCTTCTCTTCCGACACAGAACCAGCCTGAGGCCTGAGAGCTGAGCCAGTGGAAGCCAAGTGCCCTCAGTCCTTGATGACACCAACTTTCTGCTTGGCATGGGAGGTGGAGGGTGGGTAATTCCAGCCTCAGGAGTGGAATTAAGACAGACTGGGTGTGGAATGGACAGTGGGCACCAGGTTCCGGTTTTCAGAGTTTTATTGAGGAAGTCATTTCACTTCACAGTTGTCAGATGATGAACTGGCCCAATAAGCTGCAGCCTTCAGTTTCCACAACATGGAACAAAGTCCCAGAATGGAGATTGCAGGAGTAGGTACCTGTGTCTGAAATAGCACAAGAAAGAGAGGTCCTTTCCAAGGGCCTTCTGGTAGGGAGGCTTCTCTGAGTCCCATTGCCAGAGTAAGATCTGAGCTCCAGAGCATGGCCACATTCATCCCTGGGGGCAGATGTAACAAATAACCACAAACTGGCTGGCTTAAAACAACAGAATTTTATTCTCTCCCAGTTCTAGAGCCTGGAAGCCTGAAATCAAGATGTCGCAGGCCCATGCTCCCTGAGACTCTGGGCACAGTCCTTCTGTGCCTCCTCCTAGCCTTTGGTGGTGGCTGGTAGTCCGTGGTATTCCTCGGCTTGTAGCTGCCTCTGTGGTCATGCGGCTGCCTCCTCCTGGTGTCTTTACACTGTCTTCCTCTGTCCTTGTCTGTGTCAGTGTCCCAATTTTCCTTTTTGATGAGGACACCACTTACACTGGATCAGGGTCCACCTCATGATCTCACTTTAGCTTAAATATCTCTGTAAAGACCCTATTTCCAAATAAAGTCACATTCTGATGGGCTGGGGGTTGGGACTTCAGTGTATCTCTTTGGGGGGGCACTAATCAACCCCTAGAAAGGACATTAGGGCCAGTCTGTATCAGAGCCATTTCCCTTCTTCCTTCCCATCTGATTAGCGAAGAGTGTGGGCTGTGGAGTCAGGCTGCCTGGGTGCAAGTCTCAGTTCTGTGATATGTGAGCTGGTGACTTAACAAGAGCTGTAAAATGGAAGTGGTGGTATGCACATCACAGGAAGCACTACAGGAGGGTATGCGCAGTGCAGGGCTGGCATGGTGGGAACACCAGGAAGTGTGATGCTACCTCCTTTGATGGCCATTCTTCTTTTGAGAGAAAGGAATGATTAAAGTTGAAAAAATTTAGCCTGCTTCTTAAGGAAGAGATGGGTTAAGAAACTGGAGGTACAGGCAGCAGCCTTGGTGAGTGGATTTGTCTCCTTGCATGGTGTGAAATTCTCAGGGCATTTCTGGGGAAGGAGCTTGTGTGTACCCCCATGTCCTCCCGAGGGGGTATTTCATTTCTTCAGCAAATGTGTAGTGAGCTGCAGTGGGCATTTGAAGAAGTGAGAGCTAGATGTGCAGGTATGTGGCAGGAGAGCACTCAGGTTGTGAGGACAGCAAGTGCAAAGGCCCTGAGGTGGGAGATCAATGGTTGTGGCTCACAAATGGGATGATAACAGGAGATGAGCATGTTTGACTTTTGTACCATGTGGATATGTGCAGTTATGTGATGAAACTACTCTCTTCACCAAAGAAAACTGTACAGAGGTATGTGACTCCCTTATGCAAGGTGGGATTGGCTAGTCAGTACCATCCTGCTCTTTGTTGCTACCCCTTTTGGGAGATGCCATTTTATAAAGTAAGTTGCACCTTAAGGTTTTGGGTTTTTTTTAAGTGTTTCAATTTTTAACTAAATATATCTTTAAAAATTGTGTTTGCCACAAAAGTAAAAGTACAACAGTATATAAAGGAAAAATTAAATATCCCCTATCTGCCCTGTGCATGTGCTCATGTGCACACACACACACTCTTCACTAACAGCCTGGCCTGTGTCTTCCTGTATTTCTTTACAAGTCACATGTGGGTGGTGGTGGTGTGATGTTGCTTGCTTGTCTTTACAATGGCAGTGTAGGACTGTGCAGTATACATGTCATCTCTCTCCTTCCCTGCTCTTCTACCTGTAGTTCATGGACATTCCTCCAGGTCAGTGGGTCTTGACTGGTCTCCAGCTAAAGGCTCCCGGATTTTCCTTAGTGTGGGTGCCCCACAGAATCTTGTCCTCTTGGCAGGCGACCTATAAAATCTAGGGCTCCTGCTGTACAGTTCCACTCAGCGTCACTCAACTCTGGATGGACTCTGTGGATTCCCTGCGCCCATACCTTATCTTTCACTGGCCTGTCGGCATGAAGTGATGGATTTAGAAACTTTGGGACCCCACTTGACTGACTCATACCCACAATCACTTGGTCACCGAGTGCTGTGGCCCCAGCTCCAGAACACGCCATCTGCCTGTCACTTTTCCCACAGTCCCTTCCACCAGCACCCTGACTCCAGCCTTCAGTTGCGGCTCAGCCAGGCCTGGCTGGCCTCCCCATCTCCAGCCTCTCTCAGGGCCACAATGTCCCTGAGGCTCTTCGGGGATCTTGCTTTCCCTCACTTGTATCTTCTCACCTTGAACAACCATCAGAGGACCATCACTACTCAGACCTTGTCCTTGCTGGAGGATGTGCAGGTGTGCTTGCAGTATTCCAGCACCTCTCTCTCAGCTCTGCATCTGAGGCTGGAGGGCCCTGTGCACCTGGCATTCTTGCTTTGGAAAAGACTTTGTGCTTCTTAAGAGCTTTGCCTCTGCTGTATGTGTGTGCACGTGTGTGTCCATCTGCCCCCACTAATCCTGGTTTCCATCTCTTTGTCCCCCCACAGTGAGGGTTCCCTATTTCATTGACTTGAAAAAACCGCAGGATCAAGGTTTGAATCATACGTGTAATTACTACCTCCAGCCAGAGGAAGACGTGACCATTGGAGTCTGGTGAGTGCTGGGCAGTGTGGCCAATGTTGTCCAAGACGATTGTGCATCCATTTTTATCTTCACCCTCCTCTGTTTCCAAAGCAGAGATCTTGGCTAAATTTGATCCTAATGGATGGAACACGATGAGATGGCACCAAATTCTGTTCTGAGATTTTCAAATAGCGAAGGCTTTGTGAACCAGGCTGTTTGTTGCAGAGAACTTTATTTCCAGGGGGAAAAAGGAGAGTATGAGTATGGAATCATGAGCACAGGTTCAAAATGCACCCTTTCTTCTCAGAGAAGGGAGCATCTAAACATTGGAGATAGCTGGATTTCTTTCATGTGCAGCACTCCCAGCAGTTGATAATGATGGTGTTTGCTATCTTCCTCATATTTACTTTTTTGAGCCACAAATTTAAATTGGATGTAAGCTCTGTGACTTCTCTGTGACTCCTTGGAATCTATTTTCATGTTTTTTTCGCTGTGGAAAAGTGGGTGTTTCTGAACAACTAAATTAAAATTGACCAATTTTCTGTGGTGTTTTCCTTTTTCTCTCAGAAGCAGCTCAGCATCACTGCCCCTTTATGTGGCTGGGTTTCCCTTTCAGTAGCCATAATGTCTCTCTCTGCTGTCACAGAAAACTGCTGTGTATGTGAGATGCTTCTAAACAAAATGCTGTGGGTGGCTTCCCAGTGTGGGCTGTGGGGAAGTTCAGGCATTTCTAATGGTCCTGGTTAAAGAATATAAAATAGGAAGGGAGATTATTGTTCTAGGAGTTGATGCTGGCACTAGTCTTTTGTTATTGCTGGTTTAATTTAATCTTGCATTTGCTGACCAATGTGTATGCATGGGACACTTTGCTCTTCTGTCTTCAGTCAGAAGCTTGGAATGTTTTGCTCAGAGCTCTTTGGTGAGGGAATTAGTCAGCCCTCCTGCTGGTTAGTGTGGTCTGTGCTTTGAGACACAGGGAGTTAGTGGGGACCTCTTCCTCAGGTAGGGCAGTTATATAGCAGGAGGGGTGTTTGTGGTGCTGATAGGCTGAAAGCTCTCACAGCAGTCACACAAGAAGGTTGTACTTAGTGACAACAATGGTGAGACTAAGGGTAGTGACAGCCAGGCTGTATGCTGCTGGGGCCCTGCTGCCTGCCCACGTCTGCACCCTGTGTTTTCATGAGGACTGTCTGGGCCCTCGGGTGGCAGTAGGCTTGTTCTCAGTTGCTTGTCTGTGGGCATAAACTCTCTACCTGGCAGAGGGCAGGAGAGCCCTGGGAAAATAGGGTCCCTTCCCTCTGACTATGACCTTCCCTGGCCTTTAGGAGCCTCCGGTTTGGAGTAGGCTGCTTCCCGGAAGTGAATCAGCTTCAAGCACCTTTATTTTTTGTATTTAATTTTGTTTTAGTTTGTTTATTTAGAGAGAGACAGACACAGCATGAGTGGAGGAGGGGCAGAGAGAGTGGGGGTAGAGAGAGAATCCCAAGCAGGCTCCATGCTGCCAGTGCAGAGTCCAATACAGGGCTCAAACTCATGGAACTGTGAGATCATGACCTGAGCCAAAACCAAGAGTCGCACACTTAACCAACTGAGCCATCCAGGTGTTCTCCAGCACCTTTAAAATGTGCCTTTCCATCCCATGGATTTGTAATTGCCAGAGAGTGATAATTATGGTCAGAATCACCCAAAATGCAAGCCTCTGGAACGAACGAAAGAAATGTTAGAAATTAAATACTAAAACTTAAGAGCTAGAACATTTAAAAAATGGCCATTTAATACTTTCAAACATTCTTGCTAATAAATGTATGTTTTACAGACCCTCCTCTGTGATTAACAGTATTTGTTGTGGACTGACTTCATATTAACCAGAGCATCTCCCTGGAGGACAGTTCTGGCCAGAGAGACCGAGCCCACCTGCCTGGCCAGGTGTGGGATGAGTCAGGCTTATTGCCAGTTCATCCACACAGCATGTCAGCCTGCAGCATCTCCTCCTACAGAGATGGGTCTGCTCCCAGATGCCTTGTGAGCAGGCCCTTGAATGTGTTGTGCATTAGAAAGGGTGCTTTAAGGATGGCCAGGCTTCTAGTCCAGCTCATAAAGATCAGTGTTGCTGAATTAGCACCCATGATAGCATGAACTATCTTAAGTATGTTGTGAGTTAAATTGTGTACAGTTTAAAAATATAGGTATGTATGAACATTAAAAAAAATTTTTTTAAGTAGGTATGTATAAGAGAAAATGATGTTACTTGGCTAGTATTTATTAAGTGCTCATTCTGTGTAAGGCCCAGGTGAAGGCCTGGTGACTGAGCCAGAATAGATTGTACCTTACAGAACTCCAGTTCACACGAGAGAAACCCTACCTCATACTCGCCCCTGCCCCACGCAACTGCTACCAGAGGGAGCTTCTGTGGCCCAGAGGGAGCCCAGGTGCAAGTCAGGAAATCTGTCAGAAACCATCCCTGTAGCTTGAAGCTCTGTAGTTATTTCTCCTTGTGATGAGGGCAGTTTGTCTCTCCAGCCCTTCTGTCCTGTTCTCTGCTCAGTTGTGACTCTGTTCCTCCATCATTCTATCAACAATTGCCATCATTTGATTATGTCACTCTGCTCTGCTTCTGTTTCAGGCACACTGTCCCTGCCGTCTGGTGGAAGGACGCCCAAGGAAAGGACCAGATGTGGTATGAGGATGCCTTGGCTACCAGCCACCCTATCATCCTGTACCTGCACGGAAATGCAGGCACCAGGTGAGGAAGAGGAGCCCACACAGTATGTCTTCTCTGATTGCTGACTCCTTTATGAGGTGGGAAGGTCCTGGCCCAGTTGGTTCTACTGATCCACTGCAGTGAGGGAGTGTGCAGACAGTGGGGCCATGGAGCATCCTGAGAACACAGGAAAAGGCAGTGTTTATGGAGTTTGGGGAAAAGGGGGTCAAGGTGAAACTTTCATGAAGCAGTGTCCCTATAGGCTCAGAGCAAAGTGGGCTGTGTGCATGATGAGCCCAGGTGCAGTTTCCTTGGGAACTCCTTTTTTTTTTTTTAAGTTTATTTATTTATTTTGAGGGAGGGAGCACAAGCAGGGGAGGGGCAGAGAGAGAGAATCTCAAGCAGGCTCCACACCATCAGCACACAGCCTGACTTGGGGCTCGAGCCCATGAACCATGAAATCATGACCCAAGCCAAAACCAAGAATCAGATGCCTAATCAACTGAGCCACCCAGGCACCCTGGGAACTCCTGTGTTAAGCAGGTATGGGAAGCTGTGTCCAGAAACCCCTTATGTGAGCCTGGCACCTAGGTGGAGTGGAGGAAGCTGTGTCTCTGTCATAGTGACCCAGATTCTGGGCCAGAGTGGGTGTTTCCTTCTTCCTGATAGAATTTAAAGGGCAAAGTGAGGGCCTGTGATTTAGGAAATAAGTTTCTCTGAGTAAGGAACAGTGGTCCCTCAGAGGGGTCATTGTGACACTTTAGGACTGCAGCACCCCTGCGGAATGCTGTCTCCTGTTCCATCAGCCACCCCTGTCATCCCACACGGTGAGGGTCTGTCGTCCCACCGTGAGGATCTGTTGTCCCAGGGAGTGCTCTGTCATCCCAGGTGGGGGTCTGTCATCCCAGGGTAAGGATCTGTCATCCCAGTGTGAGGATCTGTCATGCCAGGGTGGGGGTCTGTCATCCCAGGGTGCAGTCTGTCATCCTAGTGTGAGGGTCTGTCATCCTAGTGTGGGGGTGTGTCATCCCAGTATGAGTGAGGATCTGTCGTCCCAGTGTGGGGGTCTGTCGTCCCAGTGTGGGAGTCTGTTGTCCCAGTGTGAGGATCTGTCATCCCAGTGTGGAAGTCTGTTGTCCTGTATGAGGAGGGTCAGTCGTCCCAAGGTAAGTATATGTTGTCCAAGGGTGGGGATCTGTCTTCCCAGTATGAGAGTCTGTCATCCCACTGTGAGGGTCGCAGGCAGTCTGGCACTTTCTCACTGGCAGGCGTGCCCGTCTGCAGGCAAAGGCATACTTCCTTGCAAGGGGCAATAATTGCTGAGAGGTGGGGGTGACATCAAAGGAGGGGTGGCCAAAAGCAGAGGGAGGCCAGAGGCACCCCAGCTGGGTGTGCGCAGACAGGCTTGTCAGTGCTGTCACATCAGCTGATGAGTGTGAGTTGTCTATCCCAGCTGTAAGTCAATGATGCCAGTGTGTCCTGCTGGGCCACTGCTGAGGCATTGTCTGTACCAGGCAAAACCCTTTGCCCAGGTTTATCCCAGGTGCTTTTCAAGAGTGGCTTTAGTGATGTGGCCTTCAGATTAGCTGGGAGGGTCTGTCATCCCAGGGTGGGGGTCTGTTCCTTCTACCCATGTGGTTGACAGAAGAGTGTCTGGAAGAGCAGGGTGAGGAGGGAGGAGGTGCATTTTCTGAACAAAGCAGTGCCTGAAAACCTCCAGGAGGGTCACTGTTGTTGCAGCTTCCTTAGGGTGTGTGAGAAAGAGCCAGCAGGAGCCGACAGGAGGGAGGGCCACAGCAGGGTCTGGGTGAGGGTCAGTGTGGCACCTTGGCTGGGGGGGGATGTGATTTTATAGGCAGAACCAACAAGGAGATCAATTCATGGGCCTTTCTGGAGGGGCAAGGAAAGCATGGTGGTGTTGGAGCAGAGGGGCTGCACAGTGGACACTGCAGGAAGTCCAGGAAGTGAAGCCTGCAAGGATGGTGTGTGAGCCTGGAGAGCAGAGTGTGTATCTGCAGAATCATGCATGCACTTGGCAGTTTGCTTTCCTCTTTGTCTGGGACAAACTACAGTGGGTTTCTCTTCTGCTTTTCAAAGAGTAAGTGGTTACTAATAGCTCTGGTAGCATCTTTGTATAAATGAGGGAAGTTCATAGTTTACTGGGAATAAGCTTCAGTTAAGCAATGCCAGTCGCATGGTAAAAAAGAGTAGCCTAAACTTCCGGTTTGAAGGAGCATTGAGACTTTGAAAGTGTTGCTGCCCCTTCCCCGTCTCCCCAGAGACTGCCTACATAGACCTGCTGGCCACCCCTTGGCCTAGCAGGATTGCAGTGGCCCTGGCTCCCTGGGGTCCAGTCCCTGGCTACTGCCTCACATTTTATCATGTGCTCAACCTCTTCTTTTTGTGCAAGGTGGGGAATTTGAACAATCTAGACAAAAGCCACCATGAATGCCTCCAAAGATAACTGAAAACATTTTACATTTTTTCCTTCTGGTCCTGAAATTTATTCCCTTGTATTTCTGTGGCTTCATTGTATTGGTTTTCCTCCTTTGTCTCATCCTTGTCTCTCTCAGTGACAGTCCCTGCCCCCCCCCCCCACACACACACACATACACACACACGCACACACATACACACCCAAAATGGCCAGAGTGCTCTTAGCTATAAAAAAGGAAAACCATTAAGAAGGCTAGACAGGGTGAACCTGCCCATTGACACACTTTCCTTCCTGAGGCAGCCCCATCCCCACTTTGGTGTCTGTCCACAGTAACAGCTGACCAATAACTGGACAGAAAGTGTGAGAAGGGGTAGATAGTCCTCGGACAAAGAAGTGTAGACACACATAACAGTTTGGGTGCACAAAAGCCTGTTCAGCCTCAGTAATAAGTGTCCACTACATGCTAGTGTGTGAGTGTGGGGCTAGGAGATGGGCCAGGGCCCCTCTGAAGATGGCTGGGCAGTAATAGTTAAGCTTATGATCACACACACCTTCTACCCAGCAGTTCTGTGTGTAGGAACATATTCCACACATGGATCACATGTCACGTTTGCAAAGGGATATCAGCACAGGCTGGACATGGCAGCAAAACTCAGGTTAACAGCAGATAGGAAAGAGCCAGAACAACTGCAAGATAAGGCAGAGGGGAACTGCAAATACTGCAAGTTGGCTGTGATTTACTGAGTGAAAAGTGAGAGACAGGGGTGCCTGAGTGGCTTGGGTGGTTAAGTGTCCTGTTCTTGATTTTGGCTCAGGTCATGATCTTGTGGGCATGAGATTGAGCCCACGTTGGGCTATGCACTGAGCCTGGAGCCTGCTTGGGATTCTCTCTGACTCTCTCTCTCTCTCTCTTTCTTTCTCTCTTTCCCTCCCCGACTCATACTCTATCTTTAGAATAAATAAATAAGCATTTTTTTTTTTTTTTTTAAAGTGAGAGGCCATGCTCGCTTCGGCAGCATATATACTAAAAAAGTGAGAGGCAGTAGAGTATGTGGCAGGTACCTATGGTAAAGAAGCACCTTCATCTCTGCCTACATGGTGGTCCCTGACACGGGGGACTTGAGGGAAGAGATGGATCCTGGGCAGGAGTGAGAGGCTTACTGTGCATTCTTTTGTGTCTTCTGGATTTTGTATTGTATGCATGTATTACCTAGTCAAAAATACAAGTATGGTAATAAATAAGAAATATCCCAAAAGTACTAAGGCTGTCCCTTGCTTGGCATGGTACTGTCAGAAATAAGCTTGGAGCCACTTAGGGTGCCCTGCAGAGGAGGTCACCTATCACCATTGACCCTCTTTGTATGTATTGAAGGAACAAGTCACTACAGACCCAGACACTCCAGTACTGACCCTGGGGCCTGCCTTTTTTAAAAGATGTGCTAACACCCATTCTTGTTTCCTTTTCCCTGATTCTTTAGAGGAGGTGACCACCGAGTGGAGCTTTACAAGGTAGGTGAGGATGGCACACAGTTGTATGACAAACAGTGTGGTGACCACAGGCAGAGTGGGGTCCTCGGTATGATGACGGGTGGAGTGGGTCCACAGTGTGATGACAGATGGAGTGGGGTCCACAATGCGGATGATGAGCAGAGTGGGGTCCACAGTGTGATGACGGATGGAGTGGGGTCCTCAGTATGATGATGGGCAGAGTGGGGTCCACAGTGTGACAATGGGCGGCATGGGGTCTGTAATGTGGATGATGGGCAGAGTGGGGTCCACAGTGTGATGAAGGGCGGAGTGGGGTCCACAAAGTGGATGATGGGTGGAGTGGGGTCCACGGTGTGATGACAGGCAGAGTAGGGGTCCACAGTGATGATGGGCAGAGTGGGGTCCATAGTGTGATGACGGGCAAAGTGGGGTCCACAGTGTGATGGACAGAGTGGGGTCCACTGTGTGACGATGGACAAGTGGGGTCCGCAGTGTGATGATGGGCAGAGTGGGGTCCACAGTGTGGATGATGGTCAGAGTGGGGTCCTCAGTGTGATAATGGGAAGAATGGGGTCCACAATGTGGATG